TGGGGTAAGTCAAATATATCATCTTTGACTTGAACTTTATCTTCTTGGAAGTGGTACATAACATTGTCAATTTCAATTTTGTACTTGTCAAAAAGTACATATACGTGGCACCCCTATGCTGGTATATGTGCCTAGAGGCTTTAAGGATTTTCGGTGGTTTAGGGCTAACTCACGATGGCGAAAAGCCTTATTTTAAGGTTATTATGGTAGGAGAAAGCAAACTCACGTGAGATAATAAAATATATATCTTTGGGGTATTTCATATGTATTTGAGTTTTTCTTCCTCATTATAGGGATTGGGTATTTATAAAGGTCATTGGGCTTGCATTTAGGGTTTATTGGGAATGACAACCACCCACCTAGTTAAAGTAGTGTTTTGTTGAATCCCTATCTCATAGGAAAATATGATTTTATCTCTTGAAACAGGTATCTCTCTGACTAAGATGTTTCATTTCCCTCACAGGTTCCCTTATACAAGGCTAGTATGGAGTTTCTTAGACAAGGTATCCCCTTTATGGGCGGTAAGAGGACATTGCTTCATATTGGTGACATAGTCTTTTATCCCTTAAAGGGTCGTTTATAGATATATCACTACACAGTCCCTCAAGTATAAGGGTTTGGCAAAGGGATAACTGCTTTTTTTTTACCATACACCAGGAGCGCTTTTATGATGATACTATAAGTCCCTTAGGTGAGGCGTTAGATAAGCCTATTTGATAAGACTCAAGGTCACACACGTTAGGTTATACATTGATCTTATATGATAAGACTCTAAATTTCTTCAAGAGAGGCATTGGTTCTCTTGGGCAGGACTTTGCTCGAAACCCTTCGATAAGAATTTTAATTTAAGTCTCTTGTGCCAGACTTTGCCTCGCCTAAGGGACTAAGATTTTGCTCATACAAGGTCTATCTTAAGGTATCGTCTAAGGGACTCGACCAATGTCTGACCCGAGAGATTTAACTTAAAAGTCTTTCTTGAAGGTCTCGATTGAAGTCTTGCTTGAGCGAATCATCACCTTGCCTGATGGACTTGGAGTCTCATTCGATAGGCTCATCGTATAATCTCACCTAAAGAACTTAAAGTCCCATCAAATAAGTTCATCTAACTACCTCGCCTTATGGGCTAAAAATATCCTCATACAAGGTTCAACCTAAGGTTTCGCCTAAGGGACTCGACCAAAGTCTAGCCTGAGAGACTTAACTTAAAAGTATTACCTAAGTGTCTCGATCGAAGCCTCAACCGAGAGACTCAACGCCTCGCATGAAAGACTTGGAGTCTCATCAGATAGGCTCAACGTATAATCTCGCCTGAAGGACTTAGAGTTCTATAAAACATTGATCATCTAACTTCCTCAAATGAGGGACTAAAGTCTCCTCAGACAAGGTTCATCCTAAGGTCTCGCCTGAGGGTCTGAACCGAAGTTTCGTCTGAAAGACTTAACACCTCGCCTGAGAGACTTGGAGTCTAATCAGATAGACTCAGTGTATAATCTCTTCTGAAGGTCTTAAAGTCCTATCAAACAAGCTCATATAACCGCCTCGCCTGAGGGACTAAGAGTCTTTTCATACAAGGTTCATCCTAAGATCTTGCCTAAGGGACTTGACCAAAGTCTACCCTAAGAAACTTAACTTAAAAGTCTTTTCTGAGGGTCTCGAATGAAGTCTTTCCTAATAGACTCAATGTCTTTCTTGAGAGACTTGGAGTCTCATCAGGCAGGCTCAATGTATAATATCTCTTGAAGGACTTAGAGTCCCAAAAAATATGATCATTTGACCACCTCGCTTGAGGGAATAAATGTCTTCTTAGACAAGGTTCATCCTAAGGTATCGACTAAAGTTTTCCCCGAGATACTCAACACCTCCCTTGAGGGACCTGGAGTCAAATCAGACACGCTCAGCATATAATCTCGTCTGAAGGACTTAAATTTCCATCAAACAGGCTCATCTAACTACCTCTCCTAAAGGACTAAGAGTTTCCTCAAATAAGGTCCAACCTAAGGTCTCGCCTAAGGGACTCAACCAAAGTCTGGCATGTGAGACTTAACTTAAAAGTCTTCCCCGAGGGTCTCAAATGAAGTCTTATCCAAGAGACTCAATGCCTTGTTTGAGGGACTTGGAGTTTTATCAAACATGCTCATTGTATTATCCCGCCTAAAGGACTTACAATCCCATTAAACATGCTCCTCTAACCGCCTCTCTTGAGGGACTAAGAGTTTCCTCAGACAAGGTTCATTCTAAGGTCTTGCTTAAGGGTCTTGACAGAAGTTTTGTCTGAGAGACTCAATGCTTGAGGGACTTGGAATCTCATCATACAGACACCCCTTGTACATAGCCAATTAAAGCACTTTGCTCTTTATCAAGCCCATGTGTTTGAAGGATTGTGTAACGATATATGTTTTCTGGAACCATGAAGAGGTAACTTCATAAAGGTGAGAAAGGCCAACACGAGAGCGAGGGGCTAGGTACCCATCAAAGCCACCAACCTCCCGAAATAGGCCATGAAGCTACTCAGATCTTAGTAACAACCCTTTCGATTATGCTTATTCCACCCAAAATCTTTTCCACTTGTATATTAGACATAAGAGACAATGTGTCCCATTACAATTGACTAGAATAATGGCTCAAAGGACGAATAAATCCTTCCTCCTCATGATCTAGTATGGGAGCGGAAGTAACTTCCCTCAACTCCATGCCCATAAGCCTTTATAAATACCTCATCACTAGCATGAAGAAAAGACAACTCAACATATATACTAAATATCTATAAAATATAAAGCCTCTCATCTCACGTGAGCTTGCTCTTTCCATAGCCAAAAATACCACCGAATAGGGTTTGTCGCCATTGTGACGAGCAATTTCTAACCCGCAGAAAATCACTAAGGTGTCTGACCACCCCTATCAGCATAGGGGTGCCACACATTATATACTCTTTTACAAGTACAAAATTGATATCAATAATACCTTTCTCAATGGTGAACTTCAAAAGGAGGTTTATATACAACAACCATCTAGATTTGTCAACACTAACTCAACTCTTATGTGCAAGTTAAAAAAGGTAATCTATGGTCTAAATAAGGCTCCAAGGGTATAGTATGAAAAAATTCCATCAAACCTTACTTCACTTTCGTTTCTCCTCCATCAAATGTGATTATTTACTCTTTATTTATAAGCATGAAAATATTAGATTATATGCATTGGTTTATGTTGATGACATACTGCTCATTGATACAACTTTGAAACTAATTCATGATCTTATCACCAAACTCCATGATAAGCTTGCATTGAAAAAACTTGGCATACAAAAATATTTTCTTGAAATTGAGGTGCATTATCAGTCCAATGACTCTATAAACTATCACAAACCAGATACATCAAAGATATGTTGTCCAAAGTCAACACGACTTATGCAAATGGGGTGACTACATCAATGTTTGACCATAGCAAGTTGAGCAAACATGATACTGCATTGGACGACTCTTCTTTATATATGTCTATAGTTGGAGCTCTTTAATATATTACATTAACTAGACTTGGCCTTGCTTATTGTGTCAACAAAGCTTGTTAATTCATGGCAAACCTCTTGGATCTCATTAGAGTATGGTTAAATAAATTTTTAGATACTTAAATGGTATAATTAGTCATCGATAAATCCTCTCACCAACTAATCCTCTTTAGAAATTTTTCTTAAGGGCTTATAGTGATTCAAACTGGACCAGTAACCCTGATGATATAAGATCAACATCGGGGTTTTGTGTTTGTTTTGGTCCCAATCAAGTTTTTTGGAGCTCAAAGAAACAACCTCTAGTGGCACAATCAAATACTAAAGTAGAGTTTAGAGTTTTGCCTCGTGCGACTTCTGAATCATTATGGCTTGAATCTCGCTTATCAAAACTCCAAATAAACTATTTTGCACAAACTTTGTTATACAATAAGTTACGTGCAAGTGCAAATCATGTTATCTCATAATCCTAAACACATATAGTTTAATATTCATTTTGTTATAGCAAACAAATGTCAAATTCAACATATTCTTGGACCAACACAAATAGAAGAGACTCTCATAAAGCCATTACCAACTAATTTATTCCAAGAGTTTCAAACCAAACTCAAAATTGTTTCATCTCACCAACCACGAGTTTATATAGTTTTGGGGGTATTGGAGGAAATTAAAAGTAAAATAACTACTTTTAAAAAAAGTCAATTAAGAGGGTTGTAAAGTAATTAAAAAAAAGTATGTAACTCGTTGTAAGTAACTCTAACTTGTATATATAGTCTTAAAAAATATAACTGCATTTGAGAGGCATTAGAGAATATAGGAAAAGGATAAGAACCGAAGATTTGAGATATTATTCTTATGCCCAAAATTGAAAACACGGTCCATAGGGAGATAGATTTATTTTAGGGGATTAAGGCATCGCTAAAATTGAAAACATCACCATAAAATTTTAATTAAAAATAAAATAAAATTGAAAACATGATCCATAGACACTTGACAACCCAAGAATGAAATTTATCATACTAAAGTTTCAGTTTACTATTAAAAAAACATGAAAAACTTAACAATTAATCTAATACAAAAATAGAAAAGAAAAAAAAATAGTGTTCGTAATATCAAATTTTGTCTCATATTCGGACACTTTTTGTCTTTTTCATTGTATCAAATAAGTTAACTTTTAAATTTTTTATCTTTTAGTATTTTTTTACTGATAAATCTAAGTTAGAAGGAGAAACTAAAAAATAATATTAAATTATAAAGTAGAAAAATGCTAATTAATAAATTAGTAATATTTTTGATAAATTTAATAAATTAAGATGAAAAGTGAAATTTATAAATAATTATTATCCGTAAGACCAAAACCACCCTTCATCGTTTCAGTTCAATGTAAATTGTAAACCTTCGTTTCATTCTTCAACAACGTTAATTACTATTATAGTCCTCGTTGTTCTGTTCTTGAGTTTTTTCTCTTCTCCGAACGCTTTTGCGTTGGATTCTCACCGCCATGTCCTTCCAATTCCGATCCATCTTCTTCCTTTTCTTCTCTCTCTTCATTTCTTCAATCTTCGCTTCCGAGTCAGATCACAAGGTAATCCCTTTCCGATCTCACGATTCGATCTACTTTTTTCTTTGCGGAATTTTTATTTGGATCTGCCCAATGTGTTTCCTTTTAGCTCTTGCTAACACTGAATTTTGATATGTTGATTTTGGATTTTTGGTTTGGAATTGGTTTTGTGAATGTAATTGTTGTGTAGTTGTGTTTTTAAGGGTTGGATCTTAACTGGGTTTTTGGTTTGGGATTGTGTAATGTAGGTGTTATAGTGTTCAATGCTCAACATTTTTTTTAATCTTCTGTATTAGATTTGGTAAATTAACTTCTTGTTGACTAATTAGCTCTATTATTATTTGGTGATCTTGGATCATTTCTTTCTTTTTTTATTTAATGTTGAATAAATAAATCACTCTAGGGTTGAGGTGGTTTTGGTTTCCAAATTCCAAGTGTGTTTAGAAAGACCTAACAGTATACAGAGGGGTGTTAGGTGAGATTAACATTTCTGACTATTAGGCTTTGATATCTAGCTTTCTTTTGCCCGTATCAATTCAATTGTCGTGGAATCGAATCTGTGATTGTTTTGCATAGTTGTTTACAAGAATTTACGACACTGAAATTGACAATTGTTGGTCTTCTATGACCTCCTGTGAAGTATGGGTACTCCATTTTAGGCAAAGTACTGGTATCGGGTAACAAACGCGTATGGTATGTTCTGAGACCGTACCTACTTTTATTTTAGATCAGTACTCCAACAGTATATATTGGGTACTCGAACTCAAATTTTTTTATTTTTTTTTGTAATGGTATAGTTTTGGGTAACTTATGGATCTTCCTTTCATAACTTTTAAAGAGAGAAATTGGAGCACATATGAATTTATTCACCCGTTGAAAATTTATAGGCTCAATCCAAAAATGGCTGAGAATTTAGTTTTTGTTCATACAAATCGTCGTCTTCTCTTAATAAAGAGTAAGACTTATAGTGAAGGAGCAACAAAATTGTGGGATATTGCTAGAGATGAATTGAATCTATTTGATGGAGCTGATATTCTTGAAGTTGCTAGTCTTTCTCTCTCGATGAACCAAATTAGAAGCTGCTCTTTTTAATGATGTTGGAGAGGAAAATATTAATATTCAGCAATGATTTCATGGTTTATTGACACTTTTGTTGTGTGATTTATTTATGCTATTGTGCAAATATTGATTCTTTTTAAGCACATTAATGTACTTGGTCTGTATTATAGACCAAATACATTAATTATTTAAAAAAGGACCGGAAGGAGTATTATTTAATTTTAATGTTTTGTTGTCATTTAAACAATATAATTTCTTTGCTATTTTTTAATTATATGTAAAAAAAATTATACTTGCGTACCTGTACCTTAGTTTTATTAAAAATGTTGTATTACATACCAGTACTTGTACCAGGTACCGGGTACGTCTATGTACCTTATGCAATGCAGATGCTCTCTGTTGGCAATATTGAGAAGTTTCAAATTGAAAAAATTAATTTGAGAACAATTGAATGTGTAGGATTATCATTTCATCTGGCGATTGTATGACAAGTTCTTCCCTTTAATACATAGTTTTTATATCTTAGTTTAGTTTGGTTGACTTTGATATGTGATTCGGCGATTGTATGTCAAGTTCTTCCCTTTCATACTTTGTTTTTATATCTTGGATTAGTTTGGTTGACTTTGATATGTGCTTCAAGCACTTAAGTGCATATTAAGATTAGGACACCATCTAATTTGCTATGTTTATTGCTTCGTCTAACTCAATCTTAACTGATTATCTTTATAACTTAAAAGTATTCAACTTTGGATTTTGATTTTTTAGTTAATTAGACCGACTTCATATGGACAGCCACTGTGTCACCAAATTACACGTATACTTAAAGGTTTTAAATATGAGCTTCAAATTGTGCTTTGCGAATCTATGGTGTTATAATTTTTTTTCAGAAACCAACCATAAAATAAACAGTTGATTATGATACGGTGAACTGAGCTTTAAATTATAAATCACATTGATAACTTAATATCCGTTGCTCTTTTTTCTTAAACTAGTGGTTGTTTGATGGTTCTGTATATCATGCATATAACTTTGCTTACTCTAAAGATGTGGTGTGGGTGCCTACTTTTTTTCGCCTAAAGAAAAAGTTGTAACTTTTAAGCCAACCCCTATATCTGTTATTTCACAGCCTTTTCCCTGCCGAGCTAGTGAAACGATGTATCTTGCATTCGTAGTTTTGTTTTTTGTTTTTTAAAAGACGTATTTAATTTCATTGCAGTATCAACGAGATGATCCCGTTAACCTTTGGGTGAACAAAGTTGGTCCCTATAACAATCCACAAGAAACGTACAACTATTACAGTCTCCCATTTTGCCATCCATCTAGTACTTCTAGTGCTGCACATAAATGGGGTGGTCTTGGTGAGGTCCTGGGTGGCAATGAACTTATTGATAGCCAAATTGAAATAAAGTTCCTAAGTATGAATACTTCTCTTGTACTATTTATTTCATAGAAGAGATGTTAACAAACAAACCAGCTTTAATGAATACTCTTTTTTTTTTCAGAAAATGTGGATAAGACTGCCTTTTGCCAGATAGAACTTGAGGAAGCAAAGGTTAAACAGTTCAAGGATGCAATAGAGAATAATTACTGGTTTGAATTTTTCATGGGTATGTTTTGTAATTTTTCTTGCAATTGTTATTCTGAGAAATTTTTCTTGCAAATGTTGAATGCTTGAGTAAAAAATGTTGAAAGCTAGTATGAAAATTTTCTTTTGGCCAGTAAACTGTGAAGGATAATAGTAACAAGGCAAAAATAGCAGAAGAGGACAGAAAACACTTAAAACAGAAACACCCATTTGAGGGAAAGAACATAAAAAAAAAACATTGCTATAAATGGATAAAATAATGTTTCCATTTATTCATAAAAAAGGCACATTCTTTGATTCCAGAATGCATTTTCCTTAACATCTAGCCTAATGACTGTTAGGATCCTTGAAGAATGTTAAAGTATACAAAAAATCATTAGCAAAAACTTCTACAAACCCACTTGAGTAAGAGTACAAACCATAGAGGTCGATGTAAATAATATTTCCATTCAGAGGACACGGCCCTTGCCATCTTCGTGATCCAATTGAATGAATTATTTTACAACCTTAGAATCAACATAAGGGAGATCTAACTAGAAGAGGCTGGCAGTAGTTATAGATCATGAAATCTTCAAATCAATCCAACAGAAGACTAAAACAACATGAAGTAGTCTTGACTTGAGAATCATTTTCCAGACTTACTGGAACGGGGATTTTTTTTTTGTTTCATTGGCTTTTTGACTGATTTTGATTAATAATAGGACAGGACATTATGATGTTACTTGATTCATCTAGCCACAAAGTGGTCTTGACTTGAGAATCACTAAGATAGAAACACCCAGCCTCAGATCTCTTGAGTTATCACGTGCTAACTGAATTATGATGTTACTTGATTCATCTAGCCACAAAGTGGTCTTGACTTGAGAATCACTAAGATAGAGACACCCAGCCTCAGATCTCTTAAGTTATCACGTGATAACTGAATTATATACAATAATGCTTAGGCATCTGGAGAAAGACAGTCGCTACTCGGATTTGAGACTGGGTATCACTCTCATTCAACCACACTGATAGTTTACTGTTGATAACGATGCCAATGATTGTCAAAGAAGTATGAAATTACGCTGACAGTTTACTATCTACATTATGGCATTTATCTATATGGTTTTGAGAGAGAGAAGTATAAAGTTACAGAATCTTTATGTGAAGTTGTTTATTAAATATTCTAGAATGCCTCAGTGAGTGTTAGTATTCAGTATTATAACATCTAGAACTGACAAGTATGGAATTAAGAATTCCGTGTAAAGTCATTGCTAAAGGAATTGATGTTGTGTCTTTTTGTTTACCATAATGTTATGAGTGAGGGGGTTTTCTGCTGGTTGATCCTCATTCCTTGTTTTAAATTTAATAATTCCTAGTTTTTTGTTTCCTTTTATGCTGAATAACTCACTTGTTTTTTTTTTGTTGTTGTTATCTCCTTTGTTCTGCTCTGCAATGGGGTGAATACAAATTCAGATGATCTGCCTTTGTGGGGTATGCCTAGAACTGCCTCTTTTTCTTTATTTGGCATGATACTGTATTTCATTGTATTTCATTTGTTCATCATTACAAAAGATATTTCTTTTTTTCTTGTTTAAGGATATGTTGGTGAGCTACATCCTGATAAGAAAAGTGATAATGGCAAGCATGTTCTTTACACACACAAGAATATTATTGTTAAATACAATAACGATCAGGTCACAAGTTATTTACATATCTTATCGTCTTATAAGGGTTTTTGAGATCCATGAAGTTTCATATTTAGACCTCTCTCCCTGCAGATCATTCATGTAAATCTCACTCAAGATATCCCAAGGCCTTTGGAGGTAGGGAAACATTTGGATTTGACATATTCTGTCAAATGGATCCCTACTAATGTCACTTTTGGACGCCGCTTTGATGTCTACCTTGACTATCCTTTCTTTGAGCATCAGGTACAGTATTTTTTATAATATGGAAATATTTATTTTTGGGTAATTGCTGCGTGTTTATCATATTGGTCCTGCCTTAGCTCTGTGACTGAGAGTTTTGCTCCTCCTTTTCTGTCTCATAGATTCATTGGTTCTCCATTTTCAACTCTTTCATGATGGTCATCTTCCTTACGGGATTGGTATCAATGATATTAATGCGAACTCTAAGAAATGACTATGCAAAATATGCTCGGGAAGATGATGATTTGGAATCTCTGGTGATGGTTTTATAAGTTTTATCTGTTCTTATTTATGGAATATGAAGTCTTTCTTCCTAGGAACTTATTTGTTTTTTCTAATCATCAATTTTGGCCATTGCTTACATGCTTACAGGAGAGAGACGTTAGTGAAGAATCTGGCTGGAAACTTGTGCACGGTGATGTTTTTCGGCCTCCTCGCTATTTAGTTATTCTTTCAGCTGTAGTTGGCACAGGTGCTCAGCTAGCATTGTTGGTTTTTATTGTCATCTTGCTGGCTATTATTGGGATGTTGTATGTCGGGTATGTGCATAACCTTCAACTGAAATGCAACAATAGTCTAAATAATGATTCAATGATATTGTAGTGTATGGCAAGTCCTGCTTGCAAATCTCAGTCATTTATGTGCTTTTTTAGTTTTTTGTAATGGACTTCATAATGTTAGTCCCTTGCTTTTCATTCACTGTCGGCTAATATTGTCTAAATTGTGTATCACAGGCGAGGAGCAATTATCACAACCTTCATTGTTTGTTATGCGCTCACATCATTCATTTCTGGTTATGTGAGTGGGGGAATGTACTCGCGGAATGGGGGTAGGAATGAAGTTTTTTTTCTTCTTGTGTCTTTGTATCAGTCCTCTTTGGTTTTGAATGACTGTAACTAGTTTGATTTGTTTGTTAGGTAAAAGCTGGATTAAATCCATGATTCTCACAGCTTCTTTGTTCCCATTCACATGCTTTGAAATTGGATTTGTCCTAAACACTATTGCTATATTCTATGGGTCTCTAGCAGCTATTCCATTTGGCACAATGGTGGTTGTTTTTGTCATTTGGGGTTTCATCTCTTTTCCTCTAGCACTTCTTGGCACAGTTGTTGGAAGAAACTGGAGCGGTGCTCCAAATAATCCATGTCGTGTAAAAACTATCCCTCGTCCCATTCCTGAGAAGAAGTGGTACCTCACACCTTCAGTGGTTTCTATGATGGGAGGACTGTTACCCTTTGGCAGTATATTTATTGAAATGTATTTTGTATTTACTTCCTTCTGGAATTACAAGGTGACCTTCAACACTGTGACTTGTGTTTTAGTTATAAACTTCCTTTTATTTGTTGGTTTAAGAATACAGCAATATCAACAAAAAGGATCCTTGATAATGATCCTTTTAAATTAACTTATTGGCTTATATAGTTTTTCCTCCTTTGTGACAAACAGGTGTACTACGTGTATGGCTTTATGCTACTGGTTTTTCTGATTCTCACCATTGTTACTGTTTGCGTGACAATTGTTGGGACATACTTTTTGTTAAATGCCGAGAACTACCACTGGCAATGGACTTCTTTCTTTTCAGCTGCCTCAACATCAGTTTATGTGTATCTGTACTCAATATATTATTACTACGTGAAGACAAAGATGTCAGGGTTCTTCCAAACCAGCTTCTATTTTGGATACACTTTGATGTTTTCTATTGGACTTGGAATTCTATGCGGTAAGTCTCAGTTTCATTTTAGATTTTCATCCTGCAGATGTGATGTCTTATCATCTGCACCCTGAACTGAGTTGAAAGTTTTTCTTCTAATGTGCAGGAGCTGTAGGGTTTCTTGGTTCAAATTTGTTTGTGAGAAGGATCTACAGAAACATTAAATGCGATTAAGGTTTTCTGAGTTAGACCTGAGCACTTCCAGAGGTTTGTTGCCGGAGACAATAAATTCTTGGATGAAGCCTCTGGTCATTGTAGGGGGAACCTAACGAAGTTTACAGGTAGAAGAATCACAGGGTTTTGAGGATGAGGGTGTATTCTTTTTCTACAATGGGGGAGCCCCGAGGTTTTTTCCTCGGCTGTATAAGACTGTCTTTATAATTTTAGAGTTAGTACAATATTCGACTCTCGTTACTGTTTCATCCCTTTATAAAATAGGACCCCCCATTGAAGGACTTGTGTCTTATTCCCCAACATGGTTTAAAGTTTCAATTATCCAATGTAATGTAAAGAGGGGAAGAAGTCTGAAAAATGAATTTTGTATGAAGATCTGAATATCATTCTTATATGTTTCCTTCATGTTTAAATTTCAATTATTACCTGCTTCAAATTTAATTTACCTTCCGCAGTGTAATATTTTTCATGTCACACCCTTCAGAATATCGTTAAAAATATAAACATCAGAATATTCAATGGAAGTTCCTCTGTTTTTTGAATCATTTTGTTGGATACATACAATGTGCTTTAAGTAAATATTATTTACAAAATGAGCCAAAAATTTAATTCAATTTTTTCATGGGATAAATTTGGTTGGCTCTGAAAATTTGTGGAAGAAGATTGTGTTTGTGCCTACCACAATCACCTTCAACCAATGGCAATAAGTAGAGATAACAAAACAACTAATGAAATTCTGACACGTGGCAGATAGGATAGCATGTTACATGTCGTGAACACACTGTCATTAATATAAACAATTCCTATCATCTGTTTGGTTTCATCTCCTACACACTTTTGCACCACCACTAAAGTCATGGCCACCACCACAGCAGCCCTCTCAGGAACCATGGCGAGCGCCTCTTTCATCCGGAGGCAGCCGATTAACAGAAGCTTAACAGCATTCCCTAACTCGGGTCAGGCTCTATTCGGTTTGAAAGCTGAACGTGGAAGTCGTGTCATTGCCATGGCCTCTTACAAAATCAAGCTCATCACCCCTGAAGGAACTAAAGAAATTACATGTGGAGATTCTGAGTACATTCTGGACGCAGCAGAGGAAAATGGCCTTGATCTCCCGTACTCGTGTAGAGCCGGTGCTTGCTCTTCCTGTGCTGGAAAAGTCACACAAGGGGAAGTGGATAATTCAGATAATAGCTTCCTTGATGATGATCAGTTAGCATCTGGGTTTATTCTCACCTGTGTTGCTTACCCTCGTTCGGACCTTGTTATCGAGACACACAAGGAGGAAGAACTTGTTTCTTAAACATGATATTTGTCTGTCTTTTGTGGAATTACTACTATGTTAACTTTATCTAGCTGTTCTGTTATCCGTGTTCTGTTTTTTGTTTCCATTTTGTTGTGAAGAATGAGTTTGTTACACTGAAGATTTATTTCTTCAATATGTTGTAGTATAATAAGTGTGTTGTAGTTTTAAATCTCTTTCGTTTCTCTTTCACTTCTTTCCTCTTCGCCGTGGCTGAATAAGTATTGATTTTGGCCATAATGTACAAGAGCTTTTTACACAATTATTCAAAAATCCTAAAACTATGATAAACTTGACTTGAACTAAATTTGGTAGGGTGTGATGCTTAAGAAATTCAATACTAAACTATTGTAGTAGACTCTCTTACTTTCAAAATAAATTTCATATGATCCATATACCGGATATTAAACTAATAAGAACAAATACATCACTTGTTCTTAGCCGAGTGGCATCTGCTTGTGCCATAAAATTCTCAAGCAAATAACAGATATGCTCAAATCACCTCACTCATGTATTTTTGTGTCTCAACTTCTGTGGGAGCCAAAACTGTGCGACTGCAACCAGTTATGACAGTCGATATCAGAGAAGCATTAGGCCTGTTAGCAGCGTTGGTGTGGGTGCGAGAGCTGACCTTTAAGCAAGTTTTTTTGTACCTGGATTCTAAAAGGGACGTGGACGCTTTCAGCTCAGATGTGCCTGGATTATAACGTGTTTCCAATACGGTCAAATTAAAACACAAGTTTATTTGAAGGGGGGTTGATTTTTGTTAAGATGACAACGATGATTATCATGGACGGATTTACTTTGATTCATAGAAAAAAATAAAATATAAGTTCTTCATTTGTGCAGACTTTGATATTGCGTTAAAATTACGGTGATGATGAATCACCTCTTTGAATATGAGTTTAGTTCTTTAAGATTACTGTTCTATCATATCATAACTTATCTTGATATGCTACACTATTTTTAGACTTATTAATATTATTACTTTCTCATGCATGTTTTTCGTTTTCAATTTTCCAAATTTGGATTTGAAAAATCAACAGACAAAGAGGTTCCAACTTACAATTCCTCACACCATTTTTGGCCTACAAAACCTCTCTCTTGCTTTCAATGGATGTGGAACCATCCTCTCCCTGCAGAATTGAAATTTGAATCAACCTTGTTATTATCATCTCAATCCCGATATAAAAAAATACATTTAATTTATTTCTTCTCATTATCATCTTCTTCTCTTTTCTCTCCTTTTTGAAACCATTCTATTATGCATCTAGGATTGTTCAATCATATTTTTTCGAGTTAGTTACAACGTTGCAATGGATCATAGTCAAGGTGGTGGTGAAAATGTTCCACAGAAGTCTCAAAAGGAAAATGAAAATTATAACAAAGAAACAGTTTTCTTACATGGTGACTTAGATTTATTGATCATAGAGGCAAAATCTCTTCCGAATCTCGATTTTTCAACTGAAGCAGTTAGGAAATGTATCACTATGGGAAATAGTTGCTCGCCGCCTTTTGTAAAAGGACTCAAAACACGCTCAGGAAAAGATAAGATCATAACAAGTGATCCTTATGTATCTGTTTGTTTAGCCGGTGCAACTATAGCGCAAACAAGAGTTATTCCGAATTGCGAAAACCCTTTATGGGATGAGCATTATACTGTTGCTGTTGCTCATCCTGTTCAGAAAGTCGAGTTTCTAGTAAAAGATAATGATATTCTCGGTGCTGAACTTATCGGAGTTGTGGAAATACCTGTTCAGAAGATACTTTCCGGTAAAATTCTGAATGATTGGTTTCCGATTATTGGTCAATATGGAAGCTGCTTAAAACCTTATCCTGAATTGCATATTTCAATTCAGTATATGCCAATTAGTAGATCTAATGAGAAAAAGGAAAGTGTTGATTTAGGTGTTCCTGATACATATTTTCCGCTTAGGAAAGGCGGGAATGTCACTCTTTATCAAGATGCGCATGTACCGGACGGTATGCTACCGAAGATTGAACTTGAAGGCGGAAAAATCTTTCAGCATAGTAAATGTTGGGAGGATATTTGTCACGCGATTTTGGAAGCTCATCATATGATATATATTATTGGATGGTCGATTTTTCACCCTGTGAAGCTTGTTCGCGAGCCTACGAAACCATTGCCTTCTGGAGGAGAGCTTTCACTAGGAGAGTTGTTGAAATACAAGTCACAAGAAGGGTTAAGAGTTGTTATGTTGATTTGGGATGATAGAACTTCACACGACAAGTTTCTTTTGAAAACAGTAATTCTCATTTCACTAAAATTCCTTAAATTTTAAGCTTTAGCTTACAATTTTGTGTTCATGTCTCAATGTACATCGCAATGATTGTTTTTTTTTTATTGCAGGATGGTGTTATGCAGACTCATGATGAAGAAACTAAGAAGTTCTTTAAACATTCAACCGTTCATTGTATATTATCTCCGCGTTATGCAAGCAATAAACTCAGCATTTTCAAGCAACAGGTGAAGTTGGTTATTTTTTCTTTATGATCAAGATCAGAAGTAATACTTTTTTTTCCCTATTCAGTTAGTATAGTACAGCAATTCCGTTGAATCTTTTGGTCCAGGTTGTCGGAACCCTCTTTACGCATCACCAGAAATGTGTGCTTTTAGACACTCAAGGTTCTGGGAATAATCGGAAAATAACCGCATTTATGGGTGGTCTGGATCTATGTGATGGCAGATATGACACACCTGAGCATAGGATTTTTCATGATCTTGATACCGTCTTTCAAAATGATTTTCATAATCCTACATTTCAAGTAAGGTGTTAATTTAACCACTGAAGATTATATCTTCACAAAGCAGAAAAAATTTTAGAAATTAACATTTAGTAGTATCGTGTTGAAATTGCATGATGCATGATGCAGTTAAATTCTAATTCTCGTGCACCAAGGCAACCGTGGCATGACTTACATTGCAAAATTGAAGGTCCGGCTGCATATGATATACTGACCAATTTTGAACAAAGATCACGGAAGGCTAAAAAATGGCGCGATTTCAGACTCCGAAAGGTGACAAATTGGCATGATGATGCTTTGCTAAGGCTAGACCGTATTTCGTGGATTGTCAAACCATCTTCTGGTCCTGATGGTGATAAATCCGTTCGTGTAACCGAAGAAACTGATCCCGAGAGTTGGCATGTACAGGTATCTATATATTAGTACTGATTTATTTGGTATACACTTTCAATATAATCGTTAGATGATTAAAGATTATTATGAACAAGTATTAAATACAGGTATTTCGGTCCATCGATTCAGGATCCGTGAAGGGATTTCCAAAGGATTTCGACAAAGCAAAGGCTCAGGTGAGAACAAGATTGTACGTGCTTCAATATTTTTTAACCTTATTTTCATTTGCTTAGTTTGCATTGCAATGTGATTTCTAGTTATTCTGAAAACAGTTGGTCTTTTTCTTTAACTTTTTGCAGCATCTTTTATGTGGCAAAAATTTAAAAGTTGATCAAAGCATTCACATGGCTTATATAAAAGCAATAAGATCCGCTGAACGCTTCATTTATATCGAGAATCAATATTTTCTTGGCTCTTCATATCATTGGCCTTCATATAAAAATGCAGGTAGATAAAGTTTTAACAATGTTATGATACAAATGCATCTAAAAAGTTTATGATAGGTTTAATTTAATGTCTAACCGCAGATAAACAAGAGAATAAAAACAGAATAACAATACTCAGTAGAAAAGTTATGAACTTTTAATGAAAAGGACTAGAGATCAAACAAGATCTAGTCATTTAGGAAAAACAGAATTGTGCAGAAAAAGAAAAAGGATAAGGAGGCTCTTAGTGAGGCCTAGTCTCTCCCAGGAGGATCATATCCACTAAATTTTGTCTATTCTCATTGATGTTAGCCACCAATCATTTATTGGAAAGTCCCTAGATTCTCTCTCCACTCACCAAATGGCAGCTATCCCACCCATGTGCTAATACAGCTAGCAGAATTTGTACTATTATATTACTCTCACTCTCTTTCTTATGTTTTTTCTGATATACTTTGCCATATCTACCAACTCTCCCCCCTTCAAGACTCTCCTTGTCCTCAAGGAGAAAAGTAGGAAATTTTGCCCTCATTTTTTCAACCAACTCCCAGGAATTTTCAAAGTTTGGCAGATTTTTCCATTTTACCAACACCTCTACCCCACCTTGCTCTCCCTGTTTGTATTCTACTGCTTTCTCAGGTGTTGGTTCCAAGTACCATTCCTCATTCATGCATGCTGGCAGAGGTTGAGGTGCCACAACAGGTGATATAGCTTTCTTTAACAAGGATGCATGAAACACTGGGTGTACTCTAGAATCTTCAGGTAGCTTCAGCTTGTAAGCCACTGCACCTATCTTTTGGATCACTTCAAAAGGGCCATAATATCTAGGAATGAGTTTCTGATTCATCCTTTTGGCCAACTTCTTCATCTTGTAAGGCTGAATCTTCAAGAACACTTGATCTCCCACCTTATATTCCACCTCCCTTTTATGCTTATTGGTCTGATTTCTCATTAAATCCTGAGCTTTAAGAAATTGTTCCTTCAGTTCCCTAAACACTAAATTCCTCTCAGCAGTTAATCTATTAACCTCATCTACTGCTGATGGAGGATTATCTCCTCTGACTAACACAGGGGGAGCTCTCCCATAAAGAGCTTCAAAAGGTGTAGTCCTTAGCGAGGCATGATAATTGTATTGTACCAATGCTCTGCCCAAGCCACCCACTTGGGCCACTGTCTTGGTTTCAAGCCTGATACACATCTTAAATAGGTCTCCAAACATCTATTCACTACTTCAGTTTGCCCATCAGATTGAGGATGGTAAGCACTGCTATACTTCAACTTGGTACTTGCCTGTTTGAATAATTCTGACCAGAACTGGCTCATAAAGACTTTGTCTCTGTTAGAGACTATAGAACTAGGGAACCTATGCAACCTCACCACTTCTTGAATAAAAAGATCAACAACTTCTTTAGTTGT